ACAACTTTTAAGTTTTCCACTTTTGCTAAATCAAATTGGAGCTATGTGAAAAATGGCCAAGAAGTTGGGACAAAAAATCTGCCTAAACTAGGTCAAAATTTCACTAAGCATTTAAGAAAAAGTGCATGACTTCATGGGCCTATAACTCAAAATCTAACCATTTTATTGGACATGAGTCCTAAAATACAAAGTTGTAGATTTCATAAAGATCTACAACTTTCATGTTGAAAGTTTTCTTTGAATCATCTTTCATCTTGATGAAAAATTGGCATGAAGTAGTGAAATTATCATGTACAGAAACACTTAGAAAAATTTCCTAAGTCTTGAAAAGTTTGACTTTTTAAATTGACTTTTGACTTTCTTGATGATCAAGCTTCATATTTTTGAATGTCTTGATGAATCTTAACTTTTGAAACTCAATTTTGATCAAAAAGTCAAAGTTTGACTTTTGGTGTATTGGTTGACTTTTTCCTCAGTTGACCAAATTTCAACTATCAATCAATTGATCTTGAGAGATGAATTGAGTCATGCAATTAGGTAAAAATGGTGTACTTGAATCCTTGAGATCATGTTTCAAATCAATAAGTCATGCATTAGGTTAAAAGTCAAGAATTAGTCATTATAATAAAAAAAAAACTAATTTTGGCCATTTTGCTCTTTTGATGATTTGAACTTTTTTCTTGGGGAATTATGGTCCAAACTTGATCAATTGGTGAATGTGAATTCAAAATGTTGATATTGGTCAAAAAATACCGAGGTTTGACTGTAAGTTGACCATAATTGACTTTTTTACCCAACACAGTTGATTTTTAATCATTTGGTCAATTGACTGAGCAGAATTGTGATTTAAGACTTGAAACTTGATATGAGTATTCTTGGAGGTCTATAATGATCCATGGAGGTCATTTGAGGCATTAGAATTCCAATTGTCCTTGTGAAAATAAAAACCCTAATTTGAGGCAACAATGTTTAGGAGGTGGTTTGACCTAGTCAACACTTGTGCAAACTTGAGCCATTGAAGATCTCGTGAGAAATGTCTTGAGAAAAGAGAGAGAAAATTTTGGGGTACAACACAATTATTCCATTAAAACCATTATTCCATTAAATCCAACATTATTATTATTATCATTAATCAACTAATTAATTAATTAATAATAATCTAACAACTTATACCAACAATTCTCAACATCTCACAACTTTAACAAATAATCCAAAAATAATTTAATTAAATAAACGGGCGTTACAACTCTTCCCCACTTAGAATATTTTCATCCTAAAAAATATACTCGATACTACCACTCTTAATGCGAATTTCGCATCTCATTCTCTGATTCCTAAGTCGTGTCTGGCAACACTTGGACCACTACTTCCCTTGCTCCAGCTCAAGAAATTCAATTTCCTTTTTACCCGGAACATCTTCAGGGAAATACTTCCTCGAAAATTCCCTATGAAACACAGACCAAGTGACATTTTCACCTGCAGCTTCCAACCTCTGACACGTCTCTAGCCACCAGTCATCAGCTTCGACTGCTAGCATATGAGTACCATATCGAACCTTCTGCGCTGGAGTGCAGTCCATCACACGGAAGATTCTCTCAATCTCTTTCAACCAATCCAACACTCCGTCAGAATCATACTTACCCTTGAACGTAGGCAGATTCTCCCTCTAGAAGGTCGCCAAACTACAAGATCCGACATTCCCGTCAGTGTTCGGTTGATTCTCCATAGCATGCGTCATTGCTTCTAAAGCAGCAGCAAGTCCAACGTCATTCCTTCCAGCCATCTCAACTTATCACTACAACATAAACAACAGTTAGAACTCAAGTTAACAATACTCAATTGTTAGATACACTACGACTCAACAACTTGGTTGGACGGACCGACTTGCTCTCATACCAACTTTGTAACACCCCAATTTTACTACTTCCAACCAATAAAATAAGTCCAACATCATTTTTCCATTAAATTCAACATTATTATCATTATTAATCAACTAATTAATTAATTAATAATAATCTAACAACTTATACCAACAATTCTCAACATCTCATGATTTTAACAAATAATCCAAAAATAATTTAATTAAATAATTGATTAAATAAACGGGCGTTACACAAAGCGCCCGCGTTGGCCAACGGTAGGGCCAACAATCATTATTCCAACATTCAAAACTCCCAACGACCAAATTCTTCAACACGCCCGTGTTAGAGGATGGTATAACACCATAAACGCCAAGAACTTACTTTATAAAAACACGCGGAAATAATTACTCAAAAGGGTGCTACGTTATCTAGATAAGACATCTCAAATCATTTTATGATAGCAGCAGAAATTAAACATTAAACACAATTTCTATTGTCTCAAAAAATAGAACTCAACTTTATTAAAATCATAAATCATCAACTAGATACACTCAATAACTCGGGGAAAATATAATTAAATAATCCCGACCCAGTGTTACACAATCAGAGTGACACACAAAAACTAAACAACGCAGAAAAGTAAATGACGAAGAAGACCAACTAAGTCATCCTCCAACATAACCAATAATTAAGGCTTCCCAGTCTCTATTTGAGTACGTGCACCACAAACATAAAGAACAACACATAAACAAACAGGGGGTGAGAATACATTCACATATATTAATGGTTAGGATAATGTGATTAGCATAAGTAATCAATCATACACCATCCACAACCATAATCATTCACAAATGCAATTTATGTATGCAATATACTCATCTCCTATACTTCAATGCATGTGGTACCAAAATTTAGATATTTAGAGATGTGTTACTGAAATACTCAACTCGTCACTAGACTTAAGTCCTAACTCGTCACTACACCGAAGTCCTGCTTGTCACTGGACAGAAGTCCCAATTCGTCATTGGACATAAATACTACATATCTCCAATATACATGATACATGAATGCTACACGAAGAATGAAATAGTCGTCTCAAACTTCATTCCAATACTCGTCACTGGTTCCTCTCAAACCTAAAACTTTGCATCAATACCCAACGCCATAATAGGCCACATCAAAACATCTCAGCATAAACTTTGCATTTTCCTCATCAGGGGACATTCAACATAAACTCAACATAATAATCAACATTATATACTTATTTTATAAATACTTATCAAATAGTATCAAATAACATCGAATAAACATTGAAAACATAATGCACTCAAAAAGTTGAGTCGAATGACCCAAAATTGGTCAAACAGAGGCTGACAGTCATCCCCTATGGGCATGACAATCGTCACGCATACCCGTCACCACACACTCTCTCAAAAAACGTCATCGCACTGACGCCTGGGCTAGAAGCCGGTCCTTGACACCATAAGGTCGACCCTTCACCCCGCCGATGCCCGTCAGCTTCCACATCATAGTAACGGTTGGCACATCATGAAGGTGGCGTTCGTCACCGTTATGTAAAACGTAGAATTCTGTATTTTCATCATTGAAGCTCTTTCAAAGATTTAATTTTGATTCCATGAGACCCAATACGCCCATAATTTCATCATACATCAATCATTAAACAATTAACACATAGAATTCGTACATATTACATATTTATATCATTAATCATCTATGAAATCATCATTAGGTTCAATCAAAACCCCAAACATGTATTCATTAACACCAACTCGAAATTATACATATAAATCCTTATGAAATTCAATAATTAACACAACACAAAAACAATATCACAACACAACGATTTAGGGAGGTTTGCACAACCATCTCAAGATCCAAAACCTTGTCAATAGACAGAAAAGAAAAGAAACAAGGAAGAGGGTAAGGGTCTCTTCCTTCATGCATAATACACCCATAAGATAAATAATTCCCCCCACTATCTCGAAATTGCAGCAAAACAAAGCTTGGCTAGGAAGTTATTCTTCCCTTCAAGTGTCTCCTAGAGTTTTATCCTTTTCTCCGCACTTGGTCTTTTCTCTCAATCTTCACGTAATACGACTTTTTTTAGCTCTACTATTTAAATTAACCTAATTCTTTTATTTTAAATAATTCTACAACTTTCTCTCAACTCCCACCCATTCCACCCCACTACTCTACTTTTAATAAATTTTTAGTTTTCTCCCCCAAACCACAATTTTCTATTTTATCTATTATTTTAAATATTAATTAAAATGTAACACTAATTTCTAATAAAACTCAATTATTCATTAATTAAATAAATTCATTAAAGCACTATATAAATGCAAATAAAATATTAAAAATGATGATAAAAATATTAAAAATAAAATTGGAGTATTACAACTCTCTTCTACTTAAAGAATTTTTGTCCTAAAAAATTATCCGAAGAAAACAAATTTGTAAGAAACTCTCTCATTCGACTCTCTAACTCCCACGTCACGCTTCCTCCAGCAGGTCCTCTCCACACTACTTTCACCAGAACAATTTCTTTATCTCTTAAGTGTTTCGCTTCTCGATCCTCAATCTGCAAGGATGATGCTTCAACAGTCAAGTTATCTCTAACTTACACATCATCCAATTGAATCACATGAGACATATCATAAACATATTTCCAAAATAGCGACACATGAAAAATAATATGAAAGTTCGAAAAAGATGATGGTAATGCAACTTGATAGACAACTTCACCGACTCTCTCTATGATATAAACAAATTAAAATGTATATATATTAAAAAGAAGAATAATTATTTTGAAACAAAATGAAGTAAACGGTGGATGTGAGCAGTAAAAAAAGTGAATTAACAAATATTTTTGCCAAAACATATTTTAAAAATGCAATTATAAAAAATAAAATAAAAATAGTGTTGTTAGTAGTAGTGGTAGATGTAAGCTCCACGAGTGTTCGAAGAGCGAAGAAAATGAAAAGAACCTAAACACACACAGCTGGGGTTTATGAATGAAAGAGGCCCTAACAGCCGCCACCGTAACCGTTTCTCGCCACCCTTACAACAACCGTGGTGGTGGCCTTTCATGGCCTCAGTCCTCTTAACACCAAGTCAATGACCCTCTCTCTCATCCCTTCAACACCATTCTTCTCAAAAACCTTAACCCGTCTCAAACCATTTCTCTCCCTTTTCTCCACACTCCCCCATAACAACAACATATCTCCTTCTGAATACGACACCAGTAACAGCCGTTTACATTCCGCGGTCACTCATCCCGAGTTACTCCTCCGAGTTCTCAACTCAGTTAAACACCGACCACTCGTCGCACTGAGATTCTTCCGTTGGGCGGAGAAGCAGCCTCACTTCAACCGATCTGGATCGGCTTATGTTGAGATTCTAGATATTCTCGCTAGAAATGGGTTTATGAGAGGTGCTTATTGGGTTATGGAGAAGGCAATTGAAGCTAAAATCGACGGCGTCGTTTTGGATGTTTTGGTTGGCGGCAGCGGCGAGGGTTCGAGTTCGGATTCCGAGGTAGTGTCTGTTAAGCTTCTCGATTTATTACTTTGGGTTTTTGCGAAGAAATCAATGTTGGAGAAGTGTTTGTTGATTTTTTATAAAATGATTCATAATGGATTGTTGCCTGATGTTAGGAATTGTAATAGGGTTCTTAAGTTGCTTAGAGATAGGAGTATGGTGAATGAGGCTAAGGAGGTTTATAATGTTATGGTTCAGTGTGGCATTAAACCTACAATAATTACTTATAATACTTTGTTGGATTCCTTTTGTAAACAAGGGGAAGTTGAACAAGCCATGGAGTTGCTGTTTATGATGCGGAGAATCGGGTGTGATCCGAATGAGGTGACTTATAATGTTTTGGTGAATGGTTTGTCGAGGAAAGGGGATTTTGACCGGGCGAAGGAGTTGATGGAGGAGATGTTGAAGTTGGGACTTAAGGTTTCGGCTTACACGTATAACCCTTTGATTCATGCTTATTGTAAGGAGGGAATGCTTGTGGAAGCTAGTGATCTCGAGGGGGAGATGTTGGGGAGAGGAGCTTTGCCTACAGTGGCAACGTACAATACAGTCATGTATGGTCTATGCAGATTGGGAAGAGTGAGTGATGCGAGGAGGTTGTTGGATGTTATGGTAAGTAAGAATTTGATGCCTGACTTAGTTTCGTATAACACTCTAATTTATGGTTATAGCAGATTGGGAAACTTAGGGGAGGCTTTTCTGTTGTTTGTTGAGTTGAGATACAAAAATCTTGTTCCAAGTGTTGTGACCTATAACACACTTATAGACGGTGTTTGCCGAGTGGGGGATTTGGATATTGCCAAGCGGATGAAAGATGATATGATCAGACACGGACCTTTGCCTGATGTCTTCACTTTTACGATTCTTGTTAGGGGATTTTGTAAGACGGGGAACTTGGCAACGGCTAAGGAATTGTTTGATGAAATGCTGTGTAGAGGATTGCAGCCTGATCGTTATGCCTACACGACTCGGATAGTTGGTGAACTCAAGCTCGGTGACCCGTCAAAGGCTTTTGGCATGCAGGAAGAAATGCTAGCCAAAGGCTTTCCACCTGATTTAATCACATATAATGTCTTCATTAATGGGCTCTATAAATTGGGAAATTTATATGAAGCAAATGAACTCGTACAGAAAATGCTCCGCAATGGATTTGTTCCGGATCTTGTGACATATACTAGCATCATCCATGCTCACTTGATGTCCGGGCATCTTCGGAAGGCTAGAGTGGTATTCTATGATATGTTGAAGAAAGGGATATATCCTTCTGTTGTGACTTACACAGTTTTGATTCATTCATATGCTGTTAGGGGAAGGCTGGATCTTGCTATTATGTACTTCTTTGAAATGCAAGACAAGGGTGTTAATCCAAATGTGATCACATACAATGCTTTAATCAATGGACTTTGCAAAGAGAGAAAAATGGATCACGCATACAATTTTTTTGTGGAAATGGAATCAAAGGGTGTTTCTGCAAATAAGTATACATTCACTATTTTGATAAATGAGAACTGCAACTTAGGCCATTGGCAGGAAGCTTTGAGATTGTACAAAGATATGCTAGATAAGGAAATTGAGCCTGATTCTTGCACACATAGTGCACTATTGAAGCATCTAAGCAAAGACTATAAATTGCACGCAGTTCATCATCTTGAGAATGTAATTAGAGGGGGGTGAATAAGCTTATGATGTAACGTGATTATTTGTTGTTTTCCATTTTGGCATTCCCACATGGAAAATGAGTAAACACGACCCCTTCATTTGGGTGGTTTTTGCCTCATAAAGGTGTAAGCTTGCCATGATGTGACCGTCAGATCGTGTACATTTTTCTCTGAAACGGTAAGAATTCCTTTTTTCTCAGATGCATGATACATTGTGTTACTAACGTATGTTCCTTTAGCCCTTTACACATATCCTAATTTGTTTCAGGATAAAGATGCCAATGGTTGTTTCCAATGATTAAGATGGGCAAACTCCAACTACTTTTGAGGCTTTTCACTTGATGAATTCTGTGACTAGGTAATACCTGGATGAGTGTAGACTTTATTTATTGAGTTTCAAAGATATGGCACTACATGTTAAAGGCAAGTATACAGATGAAGCATAATCCTCTATCAAGATATTTGAAAGAATTCTATCACATAATCATACCCCATTTTTTATTCATTTTTTAGTCTTTTGAGAGGAAAGGTTTTTTTTTTGACACAGTGATGCTTACTCTTTAAATCATAATTGTGATTATTATTTTTAAGTCAAGTGGTACACATTTTTTACACCACAACTTGTATACGGAATGGAAAATAAAAGGTTTGATCTCTTCTGTACAACAGTACGAAGTGGGTCATTGAATGCAGAAAAACTTTCTCAGTATTGTATCCTGTTATTCACTTACATTTTTTGTTAGTTAATATATTCTCACCAGTTACATGCTGCCCGTACATTATCTGTATCTTAGGCCCCGTCTGATTAGTGTTTCAAAAATTAGAAAAGAAAAAAACCTGTTTGATTTTTTATGAATCTTTTTCCTGACCAGTTGTTTTTAAATTTGTTTCCTGTTCCGTTGTTCCTGTTTGATTAGTGTTTGGAATATTTATTGTTTTTTTTAATCTGATCATAAATGATAAATAGCAATCTTGTAAATATATGGTGACAAAAGATAGTGGGCTTGAAGAAACAGTGAAGAGCATTACGTTGATGGCAAGTGTTCATCTATCACCTAGGTTTATCCATTCTGTTTTCATTATCTAGCATCATTATTTCTTCTTTCATCATTCAGCTCTCTATTTGAGTTGATTAATCAAAAAGTGCACTGGAATAAGGCTCGGACACAAAACTGGAAAAAACCAAGACATTATCAACTTATTTTGCTGTTGGGATTTTCCGTCTTTTTATCTTTCAGGGAAAAATCTTATTTTTCTTCTTGTAAGCTTCCTTTTGTTCTTTTGTGTTTGTTTTGATTATCTGGATCTCATTCGGTGAAAATGGATCTTTATCCCTTTGCTTTAGACTGTTACTTATGTTCATAGTTGTCTGCCCCTGATAGCATCTGACAACGAAATGCTATATATTATTAGGTGCAGTGCATGGGGGAAGATAACAAAAGGGTGTGTTTTCCAGTTTCCTTTTATGGATTGTGTTTTGCATGTAGGGTGTTCTTATACAAGTGTAATTCGTGATTGATGTCAACAAGTATTGCATGATTGGCTTAAAATGCTTTGGGATCTTGTTATGAATTGACCTAAATCTGTTGTTGTTGTTTAAATACTCTAGCTTGCTAGTGGGTCTGTCTGGATGGGATTGTGTGTTTTTCTGCTCAAGCTGATGCAATGTGCTTGAAAATTTTACTTTGGTTCACAAGTGAGAATGCTATGCGATATTTTTGTGTACACATGCTTTTTAGGGCCGTTCAAAAGAACCAAGAATCAAACCGAACTGTTATGTTTGGTTAGTGAACTAAATCATAATGCACAAACCGTTCTAGAATCGAAATTGAAATCAAACCGAACTGAAACTGAAGTCGAACCGAATCAAAACTGAAAAAGAAAAAAAACTTAAAACAACTTTTTTTTTTTTCAAATTGAAAAATAGCTTAGCGAATCGCTTCTTTAATAAACACTCTGGTTTGAGAAAAATTGTTTTCTAACAATTTGAAATTTTGAAATGGTATATCAAATCAATGATTTTGGTTCAGTTCAGTTTTTAGTAAATTGAAATGGTTTATTCAGTTTGAGTGAATATAGTTCGGTTCAGTTTTCTCAAATGGTTCAATTTAATTTGAATGAATTTTTATTATGGTTTGTTTGATTCTGTTTTCTCACGAAGTGTATCAAGAACATTTCTCACGAAGTGTATCATGAACAACACTACTCATATTTTATATGCATATTGGATTCTAAGTTCCTTGATGGGGTTGTTGTTGTGTTGATGTGGCTATGGAGAGTCAGGATTTTTTTTCTTCTTTTCATTCTTTTGTCTCGGTAGATCACTTACCCTGCGTTCACATAGGTCAAGAATAAATTCATTTACGTTGAATACTAAAATAAAATATATATTTAAGCATTAAATTTTGAATAAAATTCTGTCTAAACAGGTTTTAATCATTTTTTTTAATAAATATTATTTAATATATTAATTAATATTTAATATTAATTGTTTCAATTCATTATTTCATCACTATTTTTTATGTAGTTCAATTATTTAATTAGTAATTTAAATTTTTTTCATATATAATATTTATCTATAATTTGTCTCGTGCATCACATGGAGTGAAAGTACTAGATAACTAGTATAATACAAAACAATAAATAATCTATTTTTAATATAATAAAGTAAATTATCAATATAATTACATAAGTGTCCTAACTAAATTATACACCCTTAATTTTTACTTATTAATTATATCTTACATAAATAATTTTTTTAAAATCCTTTTCTAATTCCAAAACAACTCTTTACATGCCTAATAATTATCATTTTAGAAGAGTGTTTTTCTAAAAAAATATTTTTACTTCCAATACTTTGATGTTGCATCAAGATTTCACTTCACCTTTATCGAATATTATTTCATCTCTCCATTTATGTTAACACCGATAATATTTCTCTTTTATTTATAGAATATTTCTTCTTTACTATCTTTTCTACTATCTACTAACTTTCTTTTAACATGTCAACATAATACAAATTATAACTTACTCTTTCACATATTGTATATATCATTTGAAATTTGTGATTTTAAATTCATTATTGTGTATAATGATTGTTTGTTTCTTTATGATTGTTTGTCTTCAAAGGTAAAGTTTATGATTTCAATTTTATTGATTTGAAAAATTTCTACAATTTAGAGATTTTAATACACCATTGTTGTAAATTTTCTTACCCCATTTTCCGTTTTCTTTAATGGTCAGATTTCATTTTCAAACTTCTTTGCTTCCTCCTTTCATGTTTTGGCTTGTTTAATTCTTTTAATATCTTTTTAGTTATTTTTTGTGTCATAAGATTTTCCGAGCCTGATTAATTCAAAGTTAAAAATTCAAAATATTTATTATTTCCGTTAATAAATAATAATAAAATATTTATTTAATTTTTAAATAAGTTATATTAAAATAATAGAAATAAGTGAACAATATTAAAATTTTAATTTATACTAAAATGTAGAAGGTGTAAGATTAAATCCTTTTAGTATTTTATTTGCCTTATTTATTATTATTTTTTCTAAAAAAAATTATATATTAATATTACTCTACATATTACTTGCCCGTGCAAAAATACGGTTTATTGTGATTCTCTTAATCGTTTAAATTTTAGAAAAATAACAATTATAATATCATATCAATTTCATTTTCAATAATATTATAAATAATTATAATTTCAGTTTTGATTCTATTAATCAGTATATTATTTTGTTAAATACAAATTAAAAATATTATATTAGTATTACTGTTAATATATTAAAATGATATTACGCGTCTCATACGAACGCACAGGTAGATGACTAATTAATTATTTCATTTATTTTTTCTATTAAAATATATATTTTTGACAAGTCAAAACTATTTAATTTATAAATTTTATATATATAATTTTTAATTATCACTATATTATATTTATTTATTATTTAAAACGACATTGCACAACTAGTAGAAACGCATGTGTCCTTTACTAATATAATAAAAAATAATAAATTTTAAATCATGTTTTATATATATATATATATATATATATATATATATATATATATATATATATATATATATATATATATATATATATATATATATATATATATATATATATATATATATATATATATATATATATATATATATATATATATATATATATATATATATATATATATATATATATATAAAATGAGAACCTTCATTGCGATACATATATGAGAATTTCTTTATCCACTTTTATATGGTGAAAAATATCTCCGAAAATCTGAAATTACCTTTCGGATATGCATATCCGAACACACCCAATATTTAGTTTCATGGATTTTCGAATATGCATATTCGAAGTATTCTAATATTTAATTTTTAGGAGTTTTCAGATGTGCATATCCGAAGTATTTTAATATTTATATCAATTAGAATAAGGTGTGTCAATTGTATTAAATGTTATATTTTATAATAAAATAAAATGTAACTAAATAATTTAGGTGCTCTAGACCTTGCGATCACGCGTGTCTTGTCTTTATGCGACCTAACGTAAAAAACTCGGTTATATGAAAAATCGACTCTGAATTAAAATTTTATCGTGTCAATTCATCCGAAAAAAATCAAGGATCAAAATCCTCTATTTTGGAACAAAATAGGGGACTCCGTGTTGTACCCCAAAATCCGTCCTCTTCATTTTCAACACTAATTGGTTTATACTTCATTATCATATGCATATATGCATGTCAATGGATCTATATTCATGGAATCAAGGCATTTCTCTGCGAAAAAGAATTGTGATAAATTACTGTTCCGTTAAGCAGTACTGTGAAGTTGAACTCAGGGTTTTCCACATTTAAATGCACTCTGCACATGTTTGAAGCTATTCAATCAATAAACAATCAAGTCATCATCATATCAATCTCTCATGTGTCTCAACACGCTATGAATTATGCACATCCGAAAATTAAGAACCCTCACTGCGATAGATATATGAGAATTTCTTTATCCACT